TCTAGATAGCAGATGACAAAATTGTCTAAGAATTCATGAAATACATCATTCATGAGATGTTGAAAAGCAGCTGGTGCATTCGTGAGTCCAAAGGGCATGACATTATATTCGAAATGTCCATACCTGGTTCGAAACACAGTCTTCCATTCATCTCCTTCTTTTATCCGTACTAGATTATATGCTCCTCTTAGATCTATTTTTGTATAGATCTTAGCTTGATTCAACTGGTCAAGGAGTCCTGATATCAAAGGTAATGGATACCTGTTCTTGATTGTGATCTTGTTGAGTCCTCGATAGTCAATACACATTTGCAAAGATCCATCTTTTTTCTTTACGAATAGAATTGGAGCTCCTGTTGGAGAGTTTGAATGGCATATGAAATTCTTTGCTAAATTCTCGTCAATACATGTCTTGAGTTGAGCCAACTCATCTTGCGATAAACTGTAAATTGGTCCAAATGGTGGCTGAGTTCCTTCCTTGAGGTCGATTGAACAATCATATGGGCGATGCTCAGGAAGAATATCTGCATTCTTTTTCTCAAAAACGTCTTGATACTCCTGATATTGACTTGGAATGCTACTTGAAGTCTTTACGTTTTCAGAAATAGGTGCAGCATAAATAGCAAAAGTTGATCCTTCTTTTGCTGCGTGTATAAATGCTTTTGCACCTATCAGTACGGATTTTACTATACTAGACTTATAATTTTTTACTTGGTTGGTAGAACTATTAATAACACTTTGGAAAAAGTCAAGTTTACGCGAATTCCAATCTATTTGAGGGTTATATTTTTCTAGCCAGGATAAACCTAAAATAACTAGATTGGACGGCGATTTAATTATGTTAAAAGCTATGTAGCTATCATGACCGTCTATTGTTACTTTTATAGGATGAGTTTCATGAGTGACATCTCCAGAAGACAAGGGACGACCATCTATGACTTCTACATGTACTGGTTTAGGTTTCTGTACAAAGGATATTTTACGACTTTTAACAAATTGTTCATCTAAAAAACATGCTGAGGCTCTCGAATCTAATAAAGCAGAGGCTTTGTAATTCTTAGGTCCTAAATATAAGTCTATTATAAAACAAGGAGAGGGTTCTGAGGAGAGGATAGGACCTTCATTAGGAATTGTACAAGGTTCCAGCTGCACGGTCCCTATTGTAGCTGGACGAATCCGTTTTCCGACAGGTTGTCTTCTTTGACCGTCGTACCCCTCATTTTATAGTTGCGTCGTTTCTTTGGACAATGTTGAGCAGTGTGCTTAGGTTCTCCACAATATAAACATAATTCTTCTTGACGACGACGAATCTTTTCTTGCTCAATTAGGGGTTTAAAACGTACCTCGTCAATTTGCATGTCTTCTACTTTCGAATGTACGTTTGGCAAAGATGTTGATGTTGCCATTGAGTAATAATGTTGAGGTTCCCGTGAATGATTCTCGGATCGAAATTCAAAAAGTCGATTATAACATTTTACCTCAAAATCGATTGCTTGACTCAAAGTTTGAGGATCAGGTAAGTATAGCATCAATTTCTTTACTTTGTATTGCAATCCATAAAGAAATTGACTGATGAGTGCAGCATCATCCCACTTGATGTCAATTGCAAGTTGTCGAAATTGTGAAGCATACATTGTTACTGAGCGATTTCCTTGTCGCAGAATTCGGATCTTATTTGTTGCAACACGAGTTGCATCGTGTTCACCATACATAGATCGAAACTCCGCCAAAAAAGCTTCCAAATTGTCCAATATTGGATTTCGTTGTTCAAGAAAAGACGAAAACCACGATAATGCAGAACCAGAAAGTAGAGTGCCAATAAACTTGACTTGTGATCCCGGAGTTGGATAGCTTTGCGGTTGAAGTTCAATTGCCAATTATACTTGATTGATGAACCCTCGAAACTTTGATATCTTACCATCAAATTTCTCAGGTTAGGCAATTCTTGGTTCTCTAGTGCTTATAGGGTGTTTTAGAATTGGAGAAAAAACGTGATTTTTTGTAGATGTTGAAGCAGCTCCAATCATCTCTATATCCCCACTTTCTGCTATTCTTGTTCTTTTCTGTGTTGGTGAATTGAGTTGATGCATCGCAAGCATTAACTCCCTCATTTGCTCTTGCATTTGTGCCATTGCACTCTTCATTTCAACAAGCTCTGCCATAATGACACTAAGAAGAAAAATTTGTTTGATATTGCTCAAGACAAAAGAAAAGAAAGACTTGATAACAAAGAAGATACTAAGAACAATATCAGTTTAGAAGTGGGTAATCCGCAAACTTCTAATACGCTTATGTCTTGTCAAGAGAAAGGGGTAATCCACTCTTACTCAAGAAAAAACAAAGCTCTGATATTGTAAGTGTACTCTTGTCAATCTGTCAAGGATAAGAACTCGATGAAAAAACAGTTCAGACAAGTAAGCCTTCACTCAAAGAAAAGTAACAAAATATGAATAATAAGTATGTATATTGAAAAGAGAAACTAGAATGGCTATTGCCAAAAGACAAGAAAACTAGAGACCCTTGAAACTAGACTAGAAGCAAGAAAGGAGTTGACAAGAGTGAAGAAGCCTTCACTCTTGTCTCTATATATACTATCTAACTAAGGACTACGTGGCGACGTTCTATAGGACCTCCAATATGTGTTGACTTTGTAGGACACATGCCTTGACTTATAAGGCAAGTTTTTCTACGTGTGGGCTACATAGTTAGCTTGATCTTCAAGCTAACAACATGTGTGGCACATGGCCAACTTGTTGACCACGTTTCTAATCCAAAAAGTCAATTAAAGACACCTATGAAGTCAAAGCAGCGTCTAGAAAGTTTCTAGGAAGCTTCTATATTAAATATTATAGAATTAACTTACTTTTATCTACTTTTACTTACTTCTACCTATTTCTATATGTAATTATTAGCTTACATGATTATGGCCTTGACAGATATACATGGTAATATTCTATAGGACCTTCAATATGTGTTGACTTTTCTAGCCACGTGTCTTAACTTCGAAGGCAAGTTATCTATGTATATGCCACATAGTTACCTTATTCCACAAACTACCAACATGCGGTTAACTTATTGGCTAAGTTTCTATCCTATGAATACATCTAAAGTCAAAATCGTATCTATGAAGCTTCTAGGAAGCTATTCTAGAAGACTTTATTAAATTAATCTATATTTACTTACTTCTTCCTAATTATATAAGTAACTATTGGAATAAATCTATATGTTTGTGATACCTTAATCAAATCTTATGCCAAATTCTAATGAAATCCTAATAAAATCCTAAATCCTAGACAAATTCTAGATAAACATTCATCAATTCTTAGTCAATTTTTAAACCAAATCCTAAACAAATCATAATCTTAGCCAAATCCTATGCCAAATCCTAAGCCTTAATCAAACTACTAACAAATCTTAAATCAAATCCTATAGCAAGTTGGAACCTCAACAATTAATAATCAAAATGTTGATATTAACTCAAAATTTGCACACTTCTTAAGATCTTAGTTAAGAACAAGTACAAAAAAATTGAAATCAATCCCACTTACAAATTGAAAGAAATACAAGATAATCCATCAAGTAGTAGGCAACTTCTTTCTCCAATCTGAATGCTAAACTTCTAATGCCAATATCTCCTTCTTAAACCATTGAATTGCTCCTAAATTTTACCTAAAATGTTGAAAATCGAATCTAGTATCCACATTAAAAAAAAGTTACTTCAATCCAATTAATAGATTATTGAAGATCTTAAAAGTACTCACTAATCCTCAAATTCTAATTTTTGAGACCTCAATCCACAAAAACCTTTACGCACTTTAATCTAACTATATGATTGATTTCAAAATTTGCACACATTCATAATTAGCACATCAAAACTTTGTCCAAAATTCATCTATACAAATTCAGCAAAACTCAAGAAATCTTCAAATTTGTAACTATATTTTTATTTCTCAAAATCTAAACAAACCAAGAACATCACTAACTTTGAAAATCCCTTCATAACTCAATATTGATTCAATTGATATAAAACAAATGTCCAAAAATCTCTTCTCAAGTCTGCTCTCGATCTTGCTCTTCGATCTACCAAAGAACTCCTGAGTCATTATAGGTGTACAATTTTATGCTTCAAGGTCTGATTTTGACCCAAGTTGACAACTGATCCACTCCAAGCATCAATTCTTGGCTTCTTGAAGTAAATTTTACTAAAATCTACTCTTAACTCCCTCTTGTACATACCTATATCATTTCTTATCTCATTTACTTTGATTTGGCTCATTTATGCCTCTATAAAATAAATAGAAGTTCCTTCTTCAAAAACGCAGCATTAAGATTAAATCTTTTGCCATCTTTCTATCATTTATCCTTATTTTTCTATTACATCTTTCTACTAGGCTCTTTTGTAATAACATCCATATATATATATTTTCCACTATATAATCGTGTTACCACACAACACACCATGTATGTATTTATATATATATATATATATATATTATCTACCCAACTGTATTGTTTAATATACATACAGCAAAAAGGAATAAGGAATCTTGTTACTGTTTAGGTGGAAAGTATGGAATAACAGGATCCACGGTTTTGGGTGTCCTTGGAAATTCTGGAATTCAGAGCGCAACGGTTTGGTGGGGTCGTGAGTTCCAGGGCGGGGGGACCTACTTTCTGGCGGGAAAGCCTCGGAACGAACAGTCATGATGGAAAAGTGGTCAAGAGATCTACACAATCCCAAGAGGTTGAAAATGAGTTTCACTCGTCCCTCTATGGAATCTCTGGATGGGACCTAAAAAGTTCCCGCGTTTTCTGCAGAAGGGCGCGATCCTACGAATTTTGATTTTCGTTGACAAACCACTCAGCCCGTCGATCAAGAGATTCTTCTTGCGATCGTGGCCGTCCGATAAACGAGGCATCCCTTGCTCAGCAAGGATCTCATCGGGGACGTTCGTTCGTTCGTTGGTTCGTCGGAGCTGGGCTGAAGCACCGAGCCCGATGAGGCTTTTGCTGCCTGGAGGAGAACAACGGCTCACACTCCGCGAAGCCCATCAAAACCCATCCCCTATCTTCGAAATTTTTCTTCCACCACCGCAAATATCACATGCGAGATCAATACTGAGGTGCTACCCTAGTGGCAGAATCCGCCTTTTCTGCTGAATTTGAGCAGTATTTGAGGTCGGAGCCCTGTTTCGAATGTCGGTGGTTTTAATCGCAATTTCGTGATGTGGAGGTGTTGATAGGGCTTGGATTGCTTCCATGTGAATCACTGTTAAGGGTGGAGATTTGGGATTCGAGCTGAGGGTGCTGTCGTTGCTGAGAATCTGTGCTTTGAGTTTATTTTGGTTTTTTCGGTTGAGTGGCATTTCTGTACTGGATACGAGAGGGTGGCCGGGGAAGATTTTGGTTAGTGTTTATCTTTGTTCTTGTTCGTGGGACTTGAGTTTCTTTTCAGGCGGATTGCGGAAACATTTTATTTTATTTTACATTTTAATTTGTTCTCATTCCAGAATTTGCTTTTTTGGGGTGACCTAGTGATTTGCATATAAGGTCTTAGCGTTTGAATACTTGGAGGTCAGGTTTGAGGTATTCTGTCATTTGTTTCCGAGTATCCATTGCCTGTAGTGTTGTTCTTCAGAGAAAATTGAAACCGACAGAACTGATGGCGACTTGTGCATTTGAAGAGTTTGTATTGGTATCGAGGTATGAATGATGTAGGAATCTGTGGGAGAGATTTATAGCTGTACATTGAGAGTTGGGTTTTGGTCAAGTAGATTGCTCATGAACCTTGTGTAACAGTGTAGCGGTCGTGGGACACTGACAAGGAGATGCTGTAAATATTTCTGGTGATGATCGAGGATCATCGGCCATTAATCCCTGCCTGTCGTCTGTACAAAATAAAATCTTTTGCGTTTTGCATTGCCATCAGTTCCTTTTAGAGTAGCTGGGTAATGTACAGGAAGGAAGCTCCTCTGTATTCTCTGTTTCGATCGAGGAAAAGCTTTCCTCTAGTTGTTGGCGCGAGTGATGCGTTTCCTTCAATATAGAGACGGCATTTCGTTGCGGGCGAGCTGTAGACGATGATGTACGTCATTCCAGATTCAGTTGCAACCAAGCAACTCTCAGGCGGCACGGAAACTCCATCCAGGCTATCCCCATCTAAACCATCCCCATGTAGGGCTTACCAATCACCAGCTGATGCATCGAAGAGCCCATATTCCAACAGTCCTGCCTCCCACAGACGACGATATTATTCGTCAGATGAAGAAGATGACAGCAGAGACAGGCAATCCCATTGGAAGCGAACTAAGGTGCGCACAGACGATAGTAACAGGGGAAGTTCCAGGAACAGAATCACATATACAGAGAGTGATCGGCATAGCTATGTTACATCTCCAAGTCTTAGCAGGCTGAACCCTCCTCCGCAGAGTGTCAATTCTCACTCGGAACCTAGAGTAATTGTATTGCATGAGAAAGATGAGGGGTCGCGTCGCAGCAGCTATGAATCAGAATCAAGGATCCGCGGAAGTGGAAGCAAGGGATGGGATGCAGCCGTGAGACCCTTCAGAGATGGTGGGACCGCATTTGAGGATATTGATCCTGCAGGTACCAAGAGGAAGTATGCGTCAGAAGTGAGGAAGAGTAGCTTGATGATGTGTGAGAGGAGTATCGTTGTCAAAGACAAGCACATGGCAAGAAGAGTTCCTGCAGAGAGAAGCTTAGAAGGAGGGTACGAGTTTAGGGTTAATGGGAGGGAGGAGGGGGAGGTTGGGGAGTTCAATGACGAGGGTAACTCAAGTCTTTTCTTAGAAGATTCTCGAGAGGTTGATTATGAGGACCGTGCAAGGGCGAGGATTGGTCTGGATTTGCGGGAGGCTCTGAATCGAAGGAGTCGGGGTTTGGATACCATGAGCAGAGAGTCCAGGGTCTACGGCGATCAGAAAACCGGGGCCACAGTGAGGGTTAGAAAAGTGGAGTTTGACTTGTGTTGTGGTAACGGCAAAGGGAGCTTGAGTTCTTTGCAGGGATCTGGGGTGAAGAAAGTACTGGATTTGGGCCGAAGCTCCAGCTCCGGTAACGATGAGAGTAATGGTTCTGCTAGTCTTGGTGGGATTGGTCGCTCGGCGGCGGCCGTAGGAGCACAGGTGGAGAGGGATATGGAGCTGGAGAGACGGGAGAAGCGAGAACGGTGGGCTGAGAAGGAGCGTGATTTGGAAACAGAGTTGCAGGATAAGCTGCAGAAAGATTTGGAGAAGGAGAACATGCCCGAAACTCAGCCGAAGTCCGTTACAGTTGTGGACTACAGCCACAAGTTCACCGTTGCCAAAGCCTCCATCAGTGAGTGGTTCTTCTTGCGCCCAATCCTCCAGCTCTCTGGCCGCAATTTTAGGTTATCTAGTCTATTCAGGGTCTGTTTACAAAAAGGAGTCACGACATTGGGTTTCGAATATCACATCACCGATGGTGGAGTTCATGCGCACACATGAGGTTTTGTAGAACAATCCAAATTTCGTCTCCTCGTCTTCAATGCGGTCATGAGGAAGCCTTTCGTAGGTTATGTCCTAAAGAGCCATCAATTGAATTCTCCATGCGAAACATAGGGACTTCTCTTCACCATAACGATATGCTGGTGTTATCTGAAACACAATATATACGTCACGCGTGAGATAATGTCACAACAAGCGGGCATTGATCTCCAATTCCGTAGTGTAGTGAAACCTTTGGCGAGGAGATTGTGGTTTTGTGCAGGGAAGTGTATGCTTTAGATAGGTGGGGCTTCAAACTCGGAGTGTTGGCAGACCTGTCTGTACATTGTAAGCATCTGGATATACTCCTTGTGCTTCAAATGCTCCTCTCTGAGTGCGCAGGGTTTTTCTCGACTTTATAATGAGATTCTTTCAGTGAATTTTAGGTGTAGGTTTGCTTCAAATGATTGTTCCTAGAGTAACGTCAGTCATCGTATTAGTGTCTGGTTTCCTGGCAAAGTGGGGAACCGGCAGTCAGCGAACATTTATCATTTCTCCGCAGGCTAACCGTCCAAGCCTAGATATTTAAGGATCATTTTTATATCCCCTTCATCCTCCTTTGAGTTGTCATTTTCGATCTTCGTGGGAATTTTCTTTTATTCAGTGCAGCCAACTTCTTCCCTCGCAGGAAGCAGACTATAAGTAAACACATGCAGCTCTCTTTTTCGTGTCTTGTTTCTTTCTTCTGTCAATGTACTTGGGGTTATGATTTCGTTTTCTCCTTTAATGCCTGTGTTGACGAATCAACTTCAGTGTTTTCAACAGAGTGATCATGATACTTAATGTGCCATGTCCGTTTTTGTAGGTGCACCGGTAAAACAAGTGGAATTAGATCCTCATCGACTCTGCCAGCGGCAAAAGCAAATTGATTACGGAAAGAATACTCTTGGTTACGAAAGATACATAGAATTGGTTCCAAGGTAAGGTTTTATACATATCGATACATACTGTCAGAAGTAGTAGTATATTTTCAGGAGGACGTTGTGCTGAACCCTCAGTCAGTCAGAGGTGCTTCTTCGCATGCATTAATAATTGATTATGAATTAGAGATGGTTCGCAAACCAAATACACTTTCATGGATTCCATTGATGCTATGCTGCGTGAGTTAACCATATGGGATTCGTGCACTTTGATATATTGTAGGTATCAGCGAACCAAAGCACATCCTCGAACACCTGATATAAGACAGGTTTGCAGTAAACGGAGCTGGGATGGACAGATCCGGAAATGGCGCCGTTTATTACATGAGTACGATCCTCCCAAGGGGGAGGATGAAGAAGATCCAGACCAGGTGTTTGTCCCCACGAGGGAGCATGACAACATCAGTGGACCTCACACAGGCGACAATATGATGGATATGCAATCAGAGTATGTTGAAGATGTAGACATGAAGATATACGATGGGTGGTCTGACGATGAAAGCTAGTTTTGCGTGTTGAACTTTCCCATCCCTCTCTTCGTTCTTGCAATCGTGCAACATGTTCAAAACCCTGCTAGTTTCAGCAAGTTTTGATGAGAGGAATTGGCGTACTGACACTGGCCTGTACATCAATCTGGAGTTCACAGAAAGCTCTTAACTACTTGGCGTTTAACTTCCAAACGAAAGCATTCTCTTCGAAACTTAAACTACAGACAATTCTCGAATGTCCGATTAAACCTAGCATTTAACTTATTTTCTTGAAGAGAATACATAGTCTTTAGGCAACTGATTGGCTGCGGTCAACAGCACAGATCTCTTGTAAATGGTTATGATCAATCCTAGAAGCTTCAAGTTCGGGTAACAAGGCTGTAAATTCCATCGGTTCTCTGTGCTTCGCCTTCTCAGCTTCGGCGGTTGCAAGTACTTCCAGAGGCAACATTCGTTGTGGAGGTCCTGGCATGTTCTTGACAATCTCAACGGCTAGACTCCCTGATTTAACTACAGGGCTGCCTCCCCTTAATAGCTGTGCATACCAGCCACTCTAGGCTGCCCCTATATTTTGTAATGAGAGCTATACTGTAGCAAACTGAGTTAAACTCTAGTAATTCTTGATTCAATCAATGTAGTGAAATTTGCAATAGGTCATTGTCACAAACCATAAATTGTGCAAGATAATAGTTTGAGTAGGTTACATTTTGATGGAAAAAGATGTATTCTCTTTCACATGAATATGTTCCAAAAAATATGTATTTAACAAAAACCATATTCATTGATTTACTTTTTTATCCTACATCACATAACAACTTAATACTTCGTCTACTTGCCATTACTAGCTAAAACATCTTAGATTTGCTTTGGCATGCTCTCATACAACTTTCTACACTCTCATGATGTAATAGAAGCCCAACATTTTAGAATAGGCTTTAACAACTTTATAATATGTATTAGAGCACTTTGAAATGGTGTTTGCCATGCCGTGCCTTATCCTATCCAATTGTTAGTCCTATCCAAAGATGCTCAATTAGATTTAAATTAGGAAATTGAGCATGTCACTTACAAATATCAAACTTTTATAATCTCAACCATTAGTAGATATATTTTCCTATATATTTGGAATCATTATCATGTTGAAAAATTAAATGAGAAGGATCAAGATTATAAGCCATCATGGTCTATAATAAATTTCTTTGCAAGATTTCCTTGTATTAATGTTGAACCATTCTTTCTTCAATTCTATAAATGATCCTAGGACCTTGGAATATTATGTAACTTTACACCATTACCAAACCACGACCAAACTTTGTTGTGTATTGAAACTATTTTGAATTGCAAGATTATCTATTATAAATCCAACATCAATTGCCACCATCCAAGCAAAATTGGTTTATTTTTGTCTCATCAAAAAAGATAATATGTTCAAAGTTATAAATGGTCCAATGTTCATGGTGTCTAGCAAATTCAAGCCATTCCTTGATGTGTTTCTAATTTGATTTTGGCTTCTTATATTGTACTTCTAATCTAAGCCCTACAACATATATAGTTCTTTTTACTATATCAACTTTTATAATAACTTGGCATTCCCTATGTACATGTTAGGCAACATGTGTTGCAACATCAATACCTCTTAATATAGTAGCTTTAACATATTTTGTTTTGTGCATCTATTAAAACTTGTAATCTAGCACTACTATATGCTCAAAGATCAAGGAATCTCTTATCTCTAATTTGTGCAATATGAATCACCTACAACTCATTTATTACATCCCTTATAGAACTACTAACTTATAACTTTATAAAAATAGAGTTATCAAGGTCTATTTGAAGAAGCATGCAAAAGTAAGTCATGATACATATTAGAGCTGAAATAGCAATTTTTAATCACAACTTTTCTAATTTTCCATATTGATTGAATATTAGTTAGAAAACCTAAAATAATATCTTTTTACAATCGAAATATATAAAAATTTATTCACTAAAAGAGGCTCAAACTTTTATTTTTGGATAGTTGACTTAATTTTATTATATAATGTATATGCAAAAGTCAATCATTTACTAAGTAATCAATATTAATTTCTCTCAAATAAATATTTATTACTCAAATATCAATCTTTATTAGTATCTTATATTTATAGGGTATTAGATATTTATTATTCAAATATCAATCTTTATTAGTAAAAGTTAGTATAGCCACTACAAATTATGTCTCCTATATTTGGCTATTGAAAACTATTTTTTTTAATTTCAAGATTTTTCATATATTATAAAGTAGCAACAAATAATGTCCAACCTTAACTGTTTAGAATAAAGCTCATTTCTTGAATTGTATTGCATTGTACTATGGCAAGTATAAAAAGTTCAAATGTACTTCATTATTTATATATAGAAAATTTAGTGATACAATAAATACTTTATTTAATAGCACTGTGCAAATATATTTTTTTAGAGGCTGAGGAAGAGTAATGTAGACAATGTTGATATTATTTATTCAATATTCATCTATATAAGATTAGAATTTGTTGGCAATATTATGCCATATATATACATATATATATAGAATTTTTTGGGAATATTATGTCATATATATATATATATATATATATATTGACTTTAATAATTTATCTAGATAATAAGAATAGATAGGAATAGGTAAAAATAGATTAATTTGATAATATCTTATTGAAAAGTTTTTTAGAAGCTTTATAGATGTAATTTTATTTTTATATATGTCTATAAGTGATTGATAGGTTGAACACTTTGCCAACAAACAAGCCACTTATTGCATGTATTGGTAGCTTATGGTATAAGCTAATTATATGGCATATATATAAGAAATTTACCTTGCAAGTTAAGACATATATATTACAAATTGGATAGGTATCGAAGGTCCTCTAGAATGTTATCATGGAGCTCTTAATTAGATAGTATATATGGGGGCAAGAGTGAAGCCTTCTTCACTCTAATCAATGTCTTTTTAGACTTAAATCTTGTTTCAAGACTTTTTAATATTCTTATCTTTGAGAGTATGCCATTCTAGTTTTAATAGTATATTAGTTTTAAATAAATATCTATTCTTTTTAAGTGACACAAGAATATATTAAATTTTTATTTTTATCATTTCTTTGATAGTTTGATAAGAGTGCTAACTCATTATTCTTGTTTTATTTAAAAGTGAATAAATTACTTCATTTCTATTGTTATATTTTGAAGGTTGCGAACTATCTACCTTTAAAACTAATGTTTTAGTTTTTTAATATTGGTTTTTTTTAAAAAGTTTCACGGACAAGAACTCGATGAAAAAACAGTTCAAACAAGTGAGCATTCACTCAAAGAGAGGTAACAAAATATATAAGTATATATATTGAAAGAGAAACTGGAATGGCTATTGCCAAAAGACAAGAAAACTAGAGACCCTTGAAACTAGACTAGAAGCAAGAAAGGAGTTGACAAGAGTGAAGAAGCCTTCACTCTTGTCTCTATATATACTATCTAACTAGGGGCTACATGGCGACGTTCTATAGGACCTCTAATGTGTGTTGATTTTGTAGGACACATGCCTTGACTTACAAGGCAAGTTTTTCTACGTGTGGGTCTTATAGTTAGCTTGATCTTCAAGCTAACAACATGTGTGGCACATGGCCAACTTGTTGACCACGTTTCTAAACCAAAAAGTCAATTAAAGACACCTATGAAGTCAAAGCAGTGTCTAGGAAGTTTTTAGGAAGCTTCTATATTGAATATTATAGAATTAACTTACTTTTATCTACTTTTACTTAGTTCTACCTATTTCTATATGTAATTATTAGCTTACATGATTATGGTCGTGACATTACTCCTCCTTCTAGAGACGAGTTCCACGAGGAGCGGTCATCATATGTTGAAGAAATCTATGATGCGACGAATTGTATTTGCCACATATTCTGATCTCTGTTCTCTTCGAAGATGATTGATAGGGCCTCTCAACCATCGGTAGTGTCCCATACCATGGCGGGAAGACCACCCAATTATTTGATCATTGTTGAGGCCTTCGTAACTTCCTTCGAATAGAATATTTGGAACACCATCAGGAAATGTTCCTACCTCCAGCAAAATCACCAAACATCGGGAGTCCCTTCCCAAATCATGATACCAAACGCGTTGTATCTCACCATCTATTCGAAGAAGAACATGTCGTTCTTGAAGCTCTTCATCTCGATTGCATCGTCTTGAAGGTTGTGACAATCCTAATGTGTTGTCCGGTAAGTTAGCAAATGAAGGCTCTTGAGTTGAATCTACTGGTTGTTGGTTCTCCATCTCCTGAGCACCACTACTACAACGAAGCTACGAACAAGAATTGAAAGTAGAATGTTATCTTGCCTAAATGTTGTTTTTTTTATAAAGAAGGTTTTCATCTTGATTTTGATGGATATCGTCAATGAAAAGCCTCCACTGCCTTTGCTGCATTTGCAAGATTCTTCATTGGCTCCCATGTGCGTTCACTAATACCATATCCACGCCAATGGACAAGATATTCCAGCTTATTTCGGCGCCGCCTTGAATCTAAGACTTCTTCTACTTCAAACTCTTCATTATTGTCCACTTCTATAGGAGGAGGTGGAGCTTGTCGTCTTCTTGGTATGTCCACTGTCTTGTATGGTTCAAGAAGAGACACGTGGAATATTGGATGGATTTTCATTATCTTCGGTAGATATAAACGATATGCAACTGGATTGATTTGTGCAGAAATAGAAAATGGTCCCAGCCTTTGATAGTCCAACTTGTCGCAAGGACGAGTGGTCTTGATATTGCGACGAAGTAGCCATACCTTATCACCCACGTTGAGTTGTGGTTGCTCCTTATGATATACATCTGTGTTTATCTTTTGTCGTTCTTGAGCTTCTTTCAATTGCACCTTCATTATTGCATGTAACTCTGACAACCGATTTGCCATATCTTCTGCTGTAGGATTATCAACTTTTGAAAAATCAAAAGTATCAAGTCGTGGATGATAGCGATAATTAGCAAAGAAAGGTGTTTGTTACGTGGAAGAATGTACCGTATTATTATAAGCAAACTCTGCCAATGGCAAAAGGGTTGTCCAATCATCTTGTTGGTAGTTGATGGTACACCTTAAATACTGCTCCAAGACTTGGTTTACGCGCTCTGTTTGTCCATCAGTTTGAGGATGGAAAGCTGAAGATAGCTTTATGTCCACTTTTAAAATCTTGAAAAGGGTCCTCTAGAATCTCGACACAAATTGAATTCCCCTATCTGATATGATATCTTTAGGTAATCCATGATAGCGATAGATGTTATCAATGAAAAGCTTAGCTGTTTCTTCACCTGTGATAGATTTTGTACATGGTACAAAATGTGCCATCTTGGTGAAACGATCTACTATCACAAATATAGAATTATAAGATCTTGAGCTTGGAAGATCTATGATGAAATACATAGAAACAGAAGACCATGGTTGTTCTAGTATAGGTAATGGCTGAAGAAATCCGTAAGGTCGATGACGAGGAGTTTTTGATCTTGAACAAATATTACATGATTGTACAAAGTCTTTGACTGACTTCTACATTTGAGGCCACCAAAAATCTCTTGATATGAGTTCCAAAGTCT